ACGGATGAATAAAGGATGGGGGAAAGCCTAGGCTCTGGAGTCAGGCCCATTTGACCTCCAGCTCGGTCACTCCCAAGCTGGGGGACCATGAGCAAATTCTTTTCCTTCTCGGAGGCCTAGTGTTCATCTAAAACAGGCCTCTGTTCCCTCCTGCGCTGGCTCTGAGGCTCGAAGCCCTTTTGCGTGGTCAGGCCCTTGCCCTCCCCTTGAAAGTGTTCTGGGACCTGGCCAATTTCAGTGAACCCTTGGACCCTGGATCCTTTAGGAGGATAGGGGCCCCAGAGCCTCTCTCCTTCCACCCCAAGGGCCAGAGGGGGGAGAGGGTCAGCACTCCTGTTTACTGCCGGCCTTGCGTCCTTGTGGTTCAGGATTAATTTTTAAAAAGCAGCTCAAAGTCCAGGTGGGCTTTGTCAGAGTTTGCTCTCACTGTTTGTTCTGGTTAATAATCTCAGGAGAGCAAACATCTCTGGAGGTGGGAGAAGAGATCAACATCCTGGGCCCATCCTCCCGGCCTCTCCCCTCCCCCAGGAGGGGCTGTGTGACTGGTTGAACAGTTTTGCACCAAAAGAGGCTGGGATTCTTCTCTACTCGCGTGGCTCTCAGGCTCCCCTTGGGGCCGGCAGGGGGGGCGGGGTGGGGGGGTGGTTGACAGTCCTGACAATGTAGACCCTCAGTGAAGATCAGATGAGCCATGTGATACCCTGTGGGCAACCTTCACAGGATGGCTCTGTTCCTGTTCATGATTCATTATGATTTTTTTTCATTCTTGTATCAGGCTTGGTTTCTTCAAAGACAGACATCCTGACACCATCACACAGGTGAGGCAGTGGACTGTTTACAGAGTACTTTCACACACACTGCTCACTTGATCCCTTGTCAGATCAGGGATTCTTATCTTCCATTTACAGGTGAGAAAAGTGGGCTTCGGAGAGGGAAGGTCATCCCCAAAGTTGTATCGAACAAGTCAAGGCTGCTGGCTCTCAGCTCTCTGTGCCCTTTTTAATTCAGACTGCCTCCTTACTACCACCGTGAAACAAACCATAAAGGCTTGAGAAACACTGTGAACAAGAGGGAAGATAATTGTCGCTATTTCCATTTCCACCCCACCATCTATTTGCCATGAAATGATGGGACCAGATACCATGATCCTAGTTTTTTGAATGTTGTGTTTTAAGCTAGCTTTTTCACTCTCATCTTTTACCCTCATCAGGAGGCTCTTTAGTTCCTCTTCACTTTCTGCCTTTAGGGTGGTATCATCTGCATATCTGAGATTATTGATATTTCTCCCTGCAAACAGATGGGGGAAACAATGGAAACAGTGACAGACTATTTTCTTGGGCTCCAAAGTCACTGCAGGCGGTGACTGCAGCCACGAAATTAAAAGATGCTTGCTCCTTGGAAGAAAAGCTATGACCAACCTAGACAGGGTATTAAAAAGCAGAGGCATCACTTTGCTGACAAAGGTCTGTCTAGTCAAAGCTATGGTTTTTCCAGTAGTCCTGTATGGATGTGAGAGTTGGACCGTAAAGAAGGCTGAGTGCCAAAGAATTGATGCTTTCGAACTGTGGTGTTGGAGAAGACTCTTGGGAGTTCCTTGGGTGGTAAGATCAAACCAGTCAATCCTAAGGGAAATCAACTCTGAAAGGACTGATGCTGAAGCTGAAGATCCAGCACCTTGGCCACCTGATGCAAAGAGCTGACTCACTGGAAAAGACGCTGATGCTGGGAAAGATTGAAGGCAGGAGGAGAAGAGGATGACAGAGGATGAGCTGGTTGGATGGCGTCATCGACTCAGGGGACGTGAGTTTGAGCAAACCCCGAGAAATAGTGCAGGACAGGGAAGTCTGGTACACTGCAGTCCATGAAGTCTAAGAATTGGACACAGCTTAGTGATTGAACAACAACAAATATATATAGTATGTGTAATATATACATTTCAGAAAATTTATGTATTCTTGCCTAGCTGAAAACCTTATGACATTTGATTCCTGTTGTTTCACTCAGTATGAACAGAATGCTAGATTTCTAATTTATATTCACTCAAAACTTTAATATAGTTCCATGTATTTTGGCATCTAGTATTACTGCTTAAAGTCTAGAAAGTTTATTGTCTTAGTGATCTAAGAAAATTTGAATGAGGCTTGAAACTTTGAGTCCAGTTCTGAGAATATGAAGAAATACTATGTTGTAAAGAAAGAAAATCGGGAGATTAACAAGTGATACTGAGGAACCTAGAGGGCTACAGTCATGCCGTCACAAAGAGTCGGACACAACTGAACAGCTAACACTTTACTTTTCACAGTATTATTAACTAAAGTCCAGATTTTGTTCAAACCCCACAAAATTGTATGCTGGTGTTCATTATTTGTTTTCATACCTTTTTTTAAGACTCCGCATTGCATTTAATTGCATGGAGCAGCTTCAGCTGCATGCAACAAATTCTAGTAAATTCTCTTTTCATTTTTATTCTGTTACAAATATTTGCTAATCTTCCTTGTTATTGTTTCTTTGATACACCCATCATTTATTTTTTTTTAATTTGTACTTATTTATTTTTCTGATACACCCATCATTTAAAAGTGGACATCTAATTTCCAAATACATGGGATTTTGTTTAAAATATTTTTAATATTAATTTCTCATTTTATACAAAGTTCTCATTTAAATGCTTTCTTCTCTGCTATCACCCTCTGTGTTTTTTTTCAGTCTAACTTTACTGAGGCTTTCAATGGCTAAGTTGAAGGTCTCTCTTGGTAAATGCCACATTGCACTTGAAAATAAGTGGGTCATTTTCAAATATCTTTTGGTATTGATTTTTAATATAATTCCACAGTGATAAGAGAACAAACTCTGTACGATTTCAATATCTTTAGACTGTGAAAATTTTGCACCTTGTTTTACATCCCTGGATGTGTTTCAGTGTCTCCTGGCTTACAGTCTATGGGAACTTGAATAGAAATTGGTTCTTACTATTTTGTGAAAATTGTATAAATCCTAATTATGTTGAATTGGTTTTCAGTGCTTTTCAGGTTGAAAACTGCTTCAGTGCTTTCCACGCTTTCATGCTTTTCAGGCTAATAGCACTTTTGGTGCTTCTCATATCCTTCTACTTCTCTGAATATTCATTCTGTTAATTTTTGAGAGTTTGATATTAAAACTCCAACTAAAAATCTTCATTTATCTACTTAAAAAAATTTTCTGTATTTTCCAAGTTTCTTGTAAATGTGTCATCATACTTTCACAATTTAAAAAAAATTTAAAAAACAGAGAGGACCTGCAGTATCACTGGCAAGAGTTTGATCTTCGGAGACAAATGGATCTGCTTTTTAAAAATTCCTGTTAAATATTTCAAGGGAATGAACTCTGACTCGTTCCCTAAGGCTGCCATTAATAGAATACCACAAAGTGGGTGGTGTAATAAAGCAGAAATGCTTTGTCTCACAGTTCTGGAGGTTACAAGTTCGACAGCAAGTTGTCAGGAGGGCCACATACTTCCTGAAGGTTCTAGGGGAAAATCCTTCCTTGCTCTTCCCAGCTCCTGTCAGCAGCCCTTGACATTCCTTGGCTTGCAGCCGCCTCATTCCAATCTCAGCCTCCGTCTTCCCGCAGCCATCTTCCCTGTGTGTCTCTGAGTCCAAATCTCCCTCCTCTTTGTTTTATGAAGACATCAGTCCTTGGACTGAGGGTTCGTCATCCTCCGGTAGGACCTCATCTGAACACATTACATATGCAAGTAAGGTGTCTGAGGTCCCAGGCGCACTCGACTTTGCGGGGAGGGGGTTTTATCCAGCCCTCAGTGTACGCGTTCAGCTCCCGCATGTGCCAGCTCCTACCCTAGGGCTTTGCAAGCATGAACTTCTTCAGTCCTCGTGACAATGTTCTGAACAGGAACTGCTACTATCCCATTTTCAAATGAAGACACAGATGTGGTGAAAGGTAAAGTCTTTCACCCAAGGCCACCCCCTCCCGCAGTGAGCAGCACAGAGAAGCAGCCTGGCTCCCGAGTCCACGCTCTCAGCCACCACCAAAGGCTGCCTGTCTATAGAGGGGGAGAACAGCACTTGCTTGATGGGGCTGTTGTGGGGATGAGCCATTTCAGGGCAGGTGTAAAGTACTTGTGCCTAGCTGGTCCATACCAGATGCTCAGTGCCTCGAAGCTGTGGGCATCAGCAGCAGCATTATTATTTCTACTATTAATATTATTTGCTAGGGCTGTGGGAAGCCATGGGTCAGAGAAGGAGCTCCGGGGACAGGACACCTGAGCTCTAGTCTTATCTTTGCCATGGTGGCGGTGTTAAGTCGCTCAGTCAGGTCCAACTCTTTGCAGATCCATGAACTGTAGCCTGCCAGGCTCATCTGTGCATGGGATTCTCCAGGCAAGAATACTGGAGTGGGTAGCCGTTCCCTTCTCCAGGGCATCTTCCCAGCCCGGGGATTGAACCCGGGACTCCCACCTTGTGGGCAGATTCTTTACCATCTGAGCCACAAGGGAAGCTAGCTTCACCATAGACCTGCTTATAGTCTCTGCTAAGCCACTTACTCTCCCCAGGCCCTAGATTTTTTTCGTATGGGAAACAGGCCAGTTGGGCTTGTCCTCCTGGCTCACAGGTGGAATGACTCAGCGGGAAGGGCTTGGGCTGCCCTCCTCTCCCATCCTGCCTGGGACAGGCGAGGAGTTTCTGGGGAAGTCCTTGTGATGCCTGAACCCAGCGTCCAGCTGCAGCAGGGCCAGGTTGCATACGGCCAGCGGCTCCTCTGAAACAGCTACCCTGGCCCCTGGGGGCTGTGACCCCGGCCAGGGTACAAAAAGGGATCGATCAGCCCTGGCCTTGGGGCTCTGATTGGTCCTGGCCGAGCAGGGCAAACAGCAAGGCCACCTACAGCCGCAGGCCCCTTCCCCAGCCCCAGTCCGTAGCTGCCTTGAGCAGGGAGCTGGTGGCTCTTCCATCCCCAGACCAGCCAAGCCTGTGAGTGACACCCCAGACAGAGGAACCTGAGCCATGAGGAGTCTCAGGGGCCTGCTGCTGTTGCTGACCGCCTGCCTGGTGGTGAATGCCAGCCCCGTGCCCACATTGCCCGATGACATTCAAGTGCAGGAGAACTTCGACCTGTCTAGGGTAAGGCTGGCGTCTCTGGCAGTGACTGTAGGGTGTCTGAGCAGCTGGGCCTAGCTGGCGGAGAGGGACAAGTCCTGTGTGCCTTGGGGTCTCACTCTTTGCATCTGGAACTCCAGGGATGGGTCTCTGAGGGTCCTTCCTGCTGCTCACACTGTCAGGACTTCATTGAAGCTGCAACTCTGCGCTCACCCTTTTGTGGGACTCTGGGCTGCCATTCTGAGTCAAAGATCTTGAAGTCTGAACCTGCACTGTTGGACTCCAAGGGAAATCGTGCTCTGATGAGAACCCACCCAGAGAAGGCTTGGTGCCAAGTCCTGCTGCCCCTGCAGCGCCTCCCCCCGACAGCGCCCGGCTTTGTGTGACTCTTCTGCCCACCCCCTAACCTGCATCCCTTCATCCTTTAACTGCTCACCTCCGCTGCAAAATCTCTGGTAGCCCATCCTGGGCCCTCTGCCCTACCTGTAGGATCATGGGGATAAGAGGATCAGGACAGAAATCAGGCTGGGGGGGACTAAGTGGCCTGGGCAGGGCGCTGTGCAGGGGAAGTCTGCCGTCCAGCCCTGGTTCCGCCCGAATCACTGGGTGACCTTGAGCAAAGCCTGTCCCTCCAGTGCCACCCCAGGTTCCTTCTGACCTTTGTAGCTGTGGTATGGATTTTGTTTATGTTTAGCAATGAGGAAGGGATGTGGGGAGCAGGGCACGAGGAACAGGTCTCTGGTGGTCTGGGATGGCGAAGGGTCTGCAGCCACCTAAGTTCTCTTTCTAGAGGCAGCAGGCTCGTCCTGGGTCAGGCTCAGCTTAGGGAAAGGAGTTACTTTCTAACACAGAGGTACGGGCTGTGTGCAAGGTGGTGAGCACCCCATCCCCAGAGGAGTAAGAGACAGGACCCTGCTCTTAGGGAGCAGTGGTTGATGGTGACCCTGGGGCATGGGGATTTGGACCCTATCCAGTGAGCAACCAAGAGCCTGCATCTCAGCAGAGTCAGGCCCTCTGCCAGTGGGCGGGGTGGGGTCTACCTGCCATCTCTCTCCTAAGCCAGCCATGATGCCTGGAGTTCCATCATCAGGGCTCCATCCTCCCTGGAAGCCTCGTAGCCTCCAGTTATCTGTAAGACATGATCACTTAGGAGGAGAAGTCAGAGATGGGGGAGGGGGACAGACGCCCTCCCGGTCTTGTCCAGGTCCAGATGCTTAGGGCTTGTGGCTGCCTCCTAGATCTATGGGAAGTGGTTCAATGTGGCCGTGGGCTCCACCTGCCCATGGCTGAAGAGGTTCAAGGACAAGATGACCATGAGCACACTGGTGTTGAAAGAGGGGGCGACGAACAAGGAGATCAGCGTCACCAACACTCACAGGCGGTGAGTGGGGATGGGGTTAGAGGACTGGGACCCACCCCCGCCCCCACCCCCACCCTGGCTTCAGCCTCCACCCTGTCCTGGAAAGTAGCAGGTCGCTACTTCCAGCCAGGACTCACTCCTGAGGGCCAGACTTCTCTGCTTCCCAACGCTGGGGCGGTCCATACTAATTGTCCCATCTACACCTCAAGGGCAATGCACCCAACACTGCCTGTTTTCCAATCTACTCCTGCTCCTTGGTCTTCCATTAGCTCAGGAAAGGCACTTCTATACAACCTGGAAGGCTGGGTGGTTGGTGAATGTCCTAGACTCTTCTTTCCTCTGCCACGATTATTCGGCCTTATCCCTGCTCTTCCTTATTCCCTCCAGCCTGTTTACTTCTTCCCTATTCACCACCACTGCCCTGGACCAAGTCACCTTCACCTTTCTTTCCTACCGTTATCTATAGTATCCTCTCTACATTTCTCCCCGCCTCTAACCTCCAACTTTCCATCCAATTCATTCATCACCTCGCAGCCAGAAAGGCCTTTCAAAAACTCAAATCTGCTTAAACCTTTCCAGAGTTCCTTCCCTATTGCCCTTGAGATAAACTTCAACTCCTTCAGCAGAGCCTTCCAGCCTCTGTGACTCCCAAGTGCTCACTGTTCCCTTCCCCATGCACCCACATACTCTCTGACCCACCTAGCTGGATCTTCTTTCAGTTTCTGGAACCCTCCTTCCTCTGGGACTTTGCATCGAATATTTCTTCTGCCTAGAAAACCTCTCCCTACTTCCTGCGCTAACTCCTATGGATCCTTCAGGACTCAGGTTCTTTGTTGCTTCCTCCAGGAAGGCCTCCCCGACTCCCTCCACCTATCCAGGTTCAGGTTATGTGCATTCTTTTATGGTCTCTGAGTACCTCGTGCTTCCCCCCACATGTCAGTAACCACACCGACTGCATCTGCCTCTGGCCTGCCCACCCCCCTCACTGGATTTTACAATCCAATGCTCCATGAGGGGACAGGGTCTCCCCTCCTCTCTCTGAATCCCCAGCCTGTAGCACAGTGCTTGGCACATAGATGATGCTCGTTAAATATCATTAAGATAAATGATAATCATTATAACAATAATGGGCTTCCCTGGTAACTCAGCAGGTAAAGATAGTAGCTAATGTATGCATAGTACTTACTCTAAGCTCTTTGCATAAAATATCTCATTTGATGCTCTCACCCGCCATATGAGGTAGAAACTATCATTATCCCCATTTCTCAGATGAGGAAAATGAGGCAAGAGAGACACAAAGTGATAAATGAATTAAGGTGTTAAAGAATTGTTCTGGTTTCCTGGCGTATATGCATACTGCACAGATTTGGCTAAGGCAGCTGATTTTCAGTGCTGGGTTTGCCAAGAGGATGACGTCAATGAGCCCCTTTCTTCCCTCGGTCCCTCTGCTCTCTTATGTGAAACGGATGTCTCTCAGGACTGTTGGCAGAGTTAAACCAGGTATTTGGAAATGCTACTTTCCGAATTACAAAAAAAAAAAAAAGTATCTGGAAAGACCCTGCAGGAGAGCAGGGTGTCAGGACAACAGTCTCTACCAGATATTATCTTTCTTTTGGTTTGCTCTTTTCCAGGAAAGGTGTCTGTGAATCGATCTCTGGTGCTTATGAGAGAACAAGCACTGATGGGAAGTTTCTCTTTCACAAAGCCAGTAAGTTGAGTCAAAGGGGACGCCTGCGGTTCTCTCCTTTGCTAAAAAAGTGCCTGATGTCTTATGCTCTCTTCCTCTCTGCCCCTACAACCATTCCTCCCACTTTTCTGCAATGTCATCTAGCCTTCCTCCAAAGTCCCCCCTCCTTCTCCGTCTCTCTCTCCTTCTTCCTCCTTCTCTCTCTAGCTCCTACCCTCATGACCCTTGCCCCACCATGTACATGCTCGTCAAGTGCTGGTTTTAAGTGATGAGCTGAAAACATTACTGAATTCAAGTGATGGTTCTGAATGCTGATTTCATCAGTCTTCCTGTTTAGGCATCTGCAATCAACTGATAACAATTTGCTAAGCATCTACCATGTAACAGTGTGTGTGGTGCTAAGGGATAGACAGACGTGGACATGAGTTTATCATTAATTCAGCAAATGTTTATTAAATTTGCTCTATGCATCAAATAATCATGTCAGGGCTTTAATGTTTGGGTAGATGAATGGTTGGGTAAATAAATGAGTGAGAGAATTAAAAGTGGTAAGTGAATATATGTGTGATAGTAGATTAGTTGAGTAATCAATCAATCGTTAAATAGATAAACTGATGGATTAACAGTTGGAGGAAAGAAAGAAGGAAAGAGGGAGGGAAGGAAGGAAGGAAAATGGATGTATTTATGGACTGATTACAGAGAGGATGGACGGATCAAATGATGGTGGATGAATTAATGATGAATCCGTGGAGGAGATGCATGGAGAGAGAGAGTGAAGATGGATGAATAGATAAACAAATATATGCAAAGGATGGGTGGACAGAAGGATGAATGAATAGATGATATGTGGGTGAATAGGTGAAGGATCTCAGCATAGAAGCCTTCTGACCACTGATCTTTTCATCTTCCATGCAGAATGGAACATCACCATGGAGTCCTATGTGGTCCACACCAACTACGATGAGTATGCCATTTTTCTGACCAAGAAATTAAGCCGTCGCCATGGACCCACCATTACTGCCAAGCTCTATGGTAAAGGCCTGGAGCTGGGGGTGGGTGGAGATCTGTCATTTGGGGAAATGAAATGGGGAAGCTCAGGGAGTTTTGCTTTTTCCTTCCAACAAAACTCCAGTTATGGGCAAGGTCGAAACATTCACTCTCCCTGGAGGAGGTAGAGCTCAGTCTCACATTTTAGGCTGAAGCCTCGTCTTTTGATCTCAAAATATCCAGAGAATTCTAGCATCTCTGGGCCCTTAAAGAACCACTCTTGTGCTGGGTGGGGAGCCAGGAGACATGCAATGGGGAGCCTGGGAAGGCTCCTCCTCCTTTTCTGGAGCTGAGCTTTCCGTAAGGGTGCCAAAGAGACCCAGTTGAGTCAATAGGTCTCAAATGTCCCCGAAATGAAAATCCCTGGGCAAAATAACGCCAGGCCCTGGCGGCCCTGGCCCCTGTGGTTCTAGGCATCTCCCCTGCCTCCCACTTTCAGGGCGTGAGCCGCAGCTTCGGGAAAGCCTGCTGGAGGAATTCAGGGAGGTGGCCCTGGGTGTGGGCATCCCCGAGGACGCCATCTTCACCATGCCCGACAGAGGTAACGGCACTCCACCCCATCTCACATTTCTGCCCCCTCCTCATCCTCTGTGGCCCCCAGAGCCCCTGGGTCTCTCCCACCACCCTTTGAGGGAAACTGGGCTATAGTTCCCCTCCTCTCTTTATAGAAAAGGCACGCTGGGTCCCTGGACTAGTTCCAGATCACACGGCGTGGACCTGGCAGAGCTGAGACTAGAGCCAATTCAGCATTCACGCTGCTGCCACCTGCCAAGTGCGGTGACAGACAGAATCCAGGGCCCCCTCTTGGGAGGCAATAGAGGGTAGGAGTTAGAGCCCCGAGTTTCGAACTGAGCTGGGAGGCTTCAGGTGGCTTTCAGAGCCTCATTTCCTCATCTGTAAAGTGGGGATGATAATGTGTGCCCCCCCTTAGAAGTTGCTGTGAGGGATCAATGAGATAAAGGCGTTAAATACAGTAGCACTGTACGTGGTTTCTAGTAAGTGCTGGATAGATGTCAGCCTTGGGATGCTGGTGGCGGGATGGAGACAATAGGGGTGGTAACAGTGGTACTGCCATCAGTCCGTCGCTTTTCCAGCGATGACCTTCAGCAAGCCGTGCAGGTGGAGCCGTCCCTGCAGTGGGCTGGTGCACGGGACGGGTCCCAGAGAGGGGGCCCGCCCGCCACATGGCCATTAGTTCTGTGGAAGAAGCAAAGCCTGTCTGGGTCTTATTCCCTTTCTCTCCTGTCCTCTGACTCAGGCGAATGTGTCCCTGGAGAGCAGGATCCAGAGCCCACTGCACTCTCGGTGAGCACCTCTGTTCCCCCGCCCCAGCCCCACCCTACCCGCGTAGGCTCCCCTGCCGTGCTGGTGGGTGGGGTTGCTGAGAGCAGGCAGCAGTGGGCATGGGTTGTGAAGTCAGACGCACCTGGGCTCAATCTCAGTTCTGCCACGAGGCTAGTTGCTGCCCCGTGCGGATGTTCCTTTCCTCATCTGTGGAATGGAGTGATTACCTTTACCTTCCAGGTGCTGGGATCCAGTGACATGTTAGAAGAGTGCCTAAAAGCAGTGACAGACTCAATAATGAGATAAAGATACTCAATAGATGAAAATAAAGTCAATTGAGCTCTGAAAAACAGCAAACCTAAGGGCAAGCAGCTTCTCAAGCCAGTGCCTCTTCTATGCTGACTTTTGATTTGGGGGGCTTCCTTCTTTTCCTGCCTTTTGCCATATTGATTAAGTCTTCATTCTTTCTCTGATTATTTGGAAATTATGTATACTAATTTAGTCTACTGTTGTGTCTATGTGTGTGTGTGTAAAAATGCATACATATATTTATTTTAGAAACATATTTTTGAAATTTTTTTCACTTTAATCTTAATTTTTTTAATTATGAAAGTATATAACATATATACAAGGGACTTGGAAAATACAGAACAAGGTTACATATGTTCCACTATATATTACAATTATTTTTTAAAATAGATAAATTAAGGTTGTTAGTTGGAGTTTCAGTATCTAACTCTCAAAAATTCATAGAATGAATATACAGAGAAGTAGAAGCAGATAGTAGACCCGAAAAGCACTAAAAACCAACTCAACATAGTTAAGATTTATATAGTTTTCACACAACAGCAGAATACAAATTCTATTCAAGTTCCCATAGACTATAACCTAGGAGACACTGGAACATATCCAGGGACTTAAGATGAGGTGCAAAAGTTTCATGGTCTGAAGATATTGAAATCATACAGAGTCTGTTCTCATCACTGTGGAATTATGTTAGAAATCAGTATTGAAAGACACTTGAAAATAATCCACATATTTTCAAGTGCAATGTGATATTTACCAAGAGAAATCTTTGACTTAGCCACTGAAAGCCTCAATAAAGTTAGACTGAAGAAAACACAGAGGGTGACTGCAGAGAAAAAAGCATTTAAATAAGGAATTAGTATCAAAATGAGAGATTAATATTAAAGACACTTTAGACAAAAATCCCATGTATTTGGAAGTTAGATGTTCACTTTTAAATGATGGGTGTATCTAAGAAGTCATAACAAGGAAGGTTAGAAAATACTTGTAATAGAATGAAAATCAAAAGAGAATTTACCAGAATTTGTTGCATGCAACTGAAAAAAATTTTAAAACTGAAAGAAAGCAAAAAAGGACAATAGTGTCCTATTTCTACATAGAATTCACAGTTAACATATTTCTTTGCTTTCCTATTTTTTAAGAAAAATTACCATTGCTACTATAAAGTTAACATACTCTCATTATAAAGAATTAAAACAATGCAGTATAAAAAATATAAAAAACAAGTTTTGAAAAATTGCACCACCTAGAAACTCTGAGCATTCACATTATTCCAGGAATCTTGACCTGGAGAGCGGCAGGGGGAAGGAAAGTTGGATAGACAGAAGCACAGATTTAGATATGCTGTTATTAAATGGAATTCATTCCAGATGCTATTCCTGAATTTGAAAAGGCATTCATTGTTGTTTTACTTGAATTTAAAAAAAATCTGAAGTTTGAAGGTTTAAAAAAAATCTTCAAATAAATATTTCTCCTTGCCAAGAGGTTTATTTCTTAAGAATGCTCTGAGTCAAGGTTGGTCTTCCCTTATGGCTGAGCTGGTAAAGAATCCACCTGCAATGCGGGAGACCTGGGTTCAATCTCTGGTTTGGGAAGATCCCCTGGAGAAGGGAAAGGCTACCCACTCCAGTATTCTGGCCTGGAGAATTCCATGGACTGTATAGTTCTCGGGGTCACAACTGAGCGACTTTAAATGTCAGTAAACACTTTTAGAGGGTATCTATTGTCTCTGGGACTTGGTAGACAGAGGTCTTTACTATCAAACTGTGTTCTAAATCCTTCTCGCTTTTTCTTTTACTCTGTCCAGATTGATACCATTCCCATTCTGTTCTGTCTCTGCAATTCCCAGACATTTAGTAACAGTTCTATAATTTAATGGATTCTACATTCTCTCCTAATGAATACAACACAGCTTCACCATTCCTGAGTTATTATTTCTATTAATCTCTTAATGCCATTTCTTCACAAAGTGCTGTGTTCGAAGAAGTTTTGAGTATTTTAATCCTGGACTTCTTCCCTGTTTGAGAATATCTTCCCATTTCCTTCAACCTTGAGTAAGATTTCTGAAGCGGGTCTGGATAGTTTCTGTTCCTCTTCTTTTTATCTGTCTCCTGCCTCTTCTGTTTTAGCAGTTGTTTTTGTTGCTTGGTTTCAAAGTTGTGTCCAACTTTTTCGACCCCATGGACTGTAGCCCGCCAGGCTCCTCTGTGCACGGGATTCTCCAGGCAAGAATAGTAGAGTGGGTCGCCATGCCCTCCTCCAGGGCATCTTCTCGCCCTAGAGACTGAACCCTTGTCTCTTGAATTGACAGGCAGATTGTTTACCACTAGCGCCACCTGGGAAGCCCGATGCTTTGGGAAAACAGGCCATTCATCAGTCTAGTAGCTGCGTTTCTGTCTACACCTTGATCCTCAGAGCAAATGGCATTTTACATGCCGGGGGTCCAGGGGAGCAACCGTGACCAGGTCCCTGAAACAGCTTCCTCTGTTTTTTCCCCCAGAGGGCTCGGCGGGCTGTGCTGACCCAGGAAGAGGAAGGCTCGGGGGCTGGACAACCAGTAACTAATTTCAGCAAGAAAGAAGGTGAGGATCACTCTCTGTTTTTTTTCAAACCCCCTTCTGCCACACTCCAGAGAGGAAGGGCCCACAATTGGTTCACTCCAGCTGCCCTCATCACCATGACGTCTTTCTTATTCTTCTACTAGAATGAAGAACCGAGCCTAGAAAAGGCAAATCCCATCCTCTGCCCTGAGCCAAACATTGTTGAGAGAGGGAGGGGGGCATAAGGCATGGTCCCTGAGCTTAGAAACGTTCAGCTCCGCGATGAGAAGTGAGCTCTTGGCCTGTTGCACTTCGTGGCCTCCTGGCCTTGGTTTTCTCATCTGTACAATGGGATAGCAGCCTGCTGAGCTGACCTCAGGGGCCCTTGTGGGAGCACATGTGTAGCTGATAGACCTATCACTCTTCAACTCTAAGCAAACGCTGGACCCTGACCCTGCTTCGCCCCCCAGACCCCCTGCTGAGCACTGGGATCATGGAGACAAACACACCTTCTGGTCTAGTAGAGTAGGCAGTCAAGGAAGGAAATAAGGAACTTGAAAGAGGACGGCCAGCTAAAGAGTCGAGGGAGCTCAGGAAAGGGAGGGGTGAGGTAGTCAAGGAAGACTTCCTGCACGAAGGAGAAGTCATGTGATGTCCAGGTACGGTTTATGGAGGGAGGCACTCTAGCATTCTAGGGGCAGGAATGATGAGAGCAAAGGCACGGGGCTGGGACATCTGGCAGAGAGGCCAGGCTGCCAGCATGCATGCTGGTGAGTGTAGCCTCACCCACCATCTTTACAGAGCTCTTGGGCAGACAAGACCAAATGGGGATGCTGGGCCTCTGGGTCATTGGCAACGCCTCATATTGTGGCATGGGTTTTTGGGAGTCCAACAAATATGACTTGGAATCTCAGCACTAGGTAACCCTGAGGAAATCTCTTTACCTCTCAGGGAGTCAATTTCCTTAGCTTTAAACAGGGTTGAGAATGATTCCTCTTAATGCAGAGATGAAAACTAAATGGGGTGATACCCGCTGACGTGTCCAGCCTGGCGACAGGCACACAGTCAGCACTCCGCGAGCACTGCTGCTCTGCCCCTCCGCAGATTCCTGCCAGCTGGGCTACTCACAAGGTCCTTGCCTGGGGTTGTTCAAGAGGTATTTCTATAACGGTACATCCATGGCCTGCGAGACCTTCGATTATGGCGGCTGCATGGGGAATGGCAACAACTTCCTCTCGGAAAAGGAGTGTCTGCAGACCTGCCGGACCGTGGGTGAGTGCCACCCCATCTCCCTCCCTTGCACTGCCCACTCCTGTCCTCCCAACAGACCACCTGCTCACTGCACAGGTAGCTGAGAGAGGATGTTCCAGTGGTGGAATTCCAGGGCCAGTTTCCTGAAGGCATAGGAATTGAACGCTTGGGTGTGTGTGACCCTCGGCACGTGTGTCTTCTAGGGGGCTGATTTCTCAATCTACAGGAAGAGGTCTAGGTGTTCCAGGGGATAGGGTCCCTGCCGGGGGTCTCGGGTCAGCGATCATGAGGTTTTCTAAGGCTCTCTGCCTTCCCCCCACCCCGCAGAGGCCTGTAACCTCCCCATAGTCCCCGGGCCATGCCGAGCCTACGTCGAGCTCTGGGCGTTTGATGCCGCCAAGGGGAAGTGCGGCCGCTTCATCTACGGGGGCTGCAAGGGAAATGGCAACAAATTCTACTCGGAGAAGGAGTGTAAGGAGTACTGTGGCATCCCTGGCGAAGGTAGGAGGCTCCGCAAGGCCGGCGGGGCTGAGGGCCACCGGAGTCGGGGTCGGGGAGCCCTGCTGGGTGGCAGGGATCTGGAGAGCTGAGTTCTGGACTCTGTCCTGGTGACCAACACACCCACTCTCTCAGCTTCCCACCTGTAAAATGGGGCCAAGCCCAAGGCCTTACCCCAGCTGGGATGGGGCACCTGGGGGGAGGTGCTGGCCTGAGCAGAGGGCGAGGCGGTGGGTTGAGTGGGCAGAACCGGGCTCCAATCCTGGCATTCATTGCCACGTTCGGGCTGGCCACATCGTTACTCACATGATTCAAATACTGCCAGCCACTGCTTCCTGAAGGCTCAGATCTCTGGACCGTCTCAATCCATGTCTGTCCCTGTTACAGTGCTTCGTGCTCAGTCATGCCTGCCCCTTTGTGGCCCCGCAGGCTGTACCAATTTAAGCCTCAGTTTTCTCTTCTGTAAAGTGGGACAAAGGACCCACTTCCTAGGCGGCACAGTGCCTCGCCTGGTTCATACCCTTCTAGCAGCAGCCCATACTAGTAACGGTGGTAATGCTGCGATGATAACCAGAAGAGCATTCCAAGAAGCCGCAGCCATTGAAGATTTATGTGCCTTGTCTCCCCACCGGAAAAACGGTGCCTAAAGTAAATCAGGAGGCAAAAAACCAGGTCATCCTGTGGAATGCATCTTGGAGTTACCAAGTCACCCCGCAAGAAGAAGTTTCTGGCCTCAGGCTCAGGCTCGAACTCAGTCCAGGCTGCCTTCCCTCCTCCATGAGGCATCCCCATGCCCTGACCACCCCCAACCACAGACCCTTGGGTGACCCCACACCTACTCCCCAAGCCTCTCTGTGTCCACAGGGGATGAGGAGTTGCTGCGCTTCTCTAACTGACCGGCCCGGAGGCCACTCCACAAGGCAGCAGGAAGTGGGAGGGTCAGAGTCTGCCCCAGAGCCCTGCTGCAGGTTCCAATAAAAACCGAATTGTAGACTCCTGAAATTCCATGTCCTGACTGTTCATCACGAAGTATAATGAGATTGGGGGGAAGGGAGGAGGAGACCGGCTGGGGAGGGGGCATGAACTTTCCCCAGAAATGAAAAATGTGTGTGTGGGAAATGTAATAGAGCCATCTTCAGGACATGAAATTGGCTATGCAAATTATGAAACATAAATCACAGTTCTGTATAAAATGGGATTATTTTGTTTTGTTTTAATAAAGCCAGGAGAGAAAAGAGGGAGCAACTCTGGATACTTGTTTCCCGGAGAGGTTTGATGGAGGTCATCAGTGGCCCAGGGTCAGAAGAAATTACCATGCCTACCTAGTGTGTGCCCAGGGGGGTCAGGTAAATGCCCACAAGTGCCTGGAAGAATTCCCCTGCCCTTGGCCACACAGAACCCCCCCGCCCACCCACCCCTGCAGCCTTTTACTTTGTTCACAGCCTTATCCCCAGCTGTAGCTGCTGGAAAGCCTCAGGCTGTTCCTCCACAAGGGCCCTGGAGACCGCATCTCCTGCCATCCTCGCTCTGGCCCTTGGCCCCGGAAGGAGACTATTAATTGCCCTTTTCACGGTGTCCAGGACAACCATCTGGCCCTGGACTACAGCTGCAAGTCCTAGGTCTAGCCCAGCTTCTCCTTCTCCTCCCTGGAGGAAGAGAGCGGGTAGACTGTCCAGCATGGCTTGGGCACCAATTTGGTCCAAGCACAGGACTCCAGGAGCTCACACACACCAGATCTACAAACATCAGATTCATAAACACCTCTTTCTGGCTCCATCCGCTCAGAGCCCTGAGGACTGCTGCTGCTGAGAGAGCCAAAAAATCCCAGCTTCGTGGGTGCTGAAATGGAACGCTGACCCTGGCAGCAGAAATCTAGGCAGAGACAGCACCTCTTCCCCGTGGGGTAAACAGCATGCTAAGGGCTGGCGGCTCACTTGGTCAAGAGTCCCTTTCATGCCATTAGCCCGTTGGATTAAGAGACCCTCAGGAAGGGAAAACGGTGGGTACTGCACATCTCTGGTGGAGGGGACAAACCCAGAGGCAAGGATTCTGGGTGGAAACAGCTTTGCAGCCCTCTTGATCAGATCATATAAGAGACTCCTCTTTTTTTTCTCCAAAGCCCTGAGCTTGGGGCTTCCTGATTCCCGAGAGACAGCATTTGTGGTTGTAGCCGGGACTCTGTCTTGACAGAAGTGGCTGGAGTTGGGGACAGGGACACAGGGAGATGCGACAGGCTCTCCAGGCTGCAACTCACAAATGTCCTCATGTCCTGTGTCTGTCTATACCTGCCCTTCCATGCACGCTTCATGCACTGGGGCCACCATCTACAGCAGTCTGAAGGTACCACTCTGAAGAGGGATATTTTGAAGTGACCCAAAGGACAAATGCCTAAAGCCGAGGATGCCAGCCACAGATGGGTCAGCCACCCTCAGCTCAGCTGGTGGATGGGAGTTTTTGGCTCATAAGGTATCTATTTCACAGTTCTGAATTCACCATTTAAAAGTGGACCTCTTGGGGACTTCCCAAGCAGGCCAGTGGTTAAGACTCTGCAATTCCACTTCAGGGGACAGGTTGGGGAACTAAGATCCCGCGTAGCACGCAGCATGACCAAAAAAAAAAAGAAAGTCCATATAAAAGTCTAAGTTTCTCAGTTTTCTTGAAAAATAGATTCCGACAGCCCTGGGCCTGCATCCTGCATGCTAAGGTGCAGGAGCTGAACTGACATGGCCCGTTTACACGGAGCTGCCCTTGAGGGTCACCAGCCCCTGCCGCCACCCTGCCTGGTTCTGGAGACACGTCTCCAAGACACGTGCTAAAACTTTCACTACACAAAATTCCCTTGGATCTGATCTTACCACCTCAGGGGACTCCTCATCTCAGAAGGCACAAGAAGCATTCCCAGCCAAACGCTGTGATGACCTATTTTTTGTTTGTTTGTTTTTATTTTTGGGCGTGCTGGGTCTTTGTTGCTACATGGGCTTTGCTGTAGTTGCAGCGAGCGGGGTCGACTCTCTAAATTGCAGTGCATGGGCTTCTCACTGCAGTGGCTTGGAGAAGGACATGGCAACCCACTCCAGTACCCTTGCCTAGAAAATCCCATGAATGGAGGGGCCTGGTAGGCTACAGTCCATGGGGTCGCAAAGAGTTGGACACGACTGAGCAACTCCACTTTCACTTTTCTGTTGTTGAGGAGCAGGGGCTCTAGGGCCCTTGGGTTTCAGTAGCTGCTTCATGCAGGCTCCATAGTTGGGGCCTCCAGGCTCTGGAGCACAGGCTCAAAAGCTGTGGCGCACAGCCTTTAGCTCCTCGGAGGCATGTGGCTCTTTCCAGGTTGGGGCTTGAACCCGTGTCTCCGGCCCTGGCAGGCAGATTCTTTACCGCTTAGCCACCAGGGAAGCCCCACCTGTTTGATTCTTAAACCGTCTCATCTCAAATTTTCTCTTAAAGATACAGGTCACACTCATCTCTTCTATAACACAGATGTGGCTACTTAGAAAAATGTGGTTTTTGTTTTTTAATTTTAAAATCCAGAGGCTGGCCCCTCAGCCATACCAAGACTCTGGCCACGCCCTGGCCTTACTGGATCCTGGTATTCTGAAGTGGGGGTGGGGTGGGGGGGGAGTCTTTTTGCTCCAGCAGGACTCCTGACTTTTGTTTCAGAGCCCATAGAAACTCCTTGGTTGAACTTCACCCACCGGCTCTAGGACATCCACATGGTACGCTGAACAGCAGGAAACTCCCGCAGGAGGGGAGGGCAGGGCTGATGCCTCTGGGAGGCTGGCCCAGACTCACAGCCCATTCCTGCTGTGACCCCTGCGATCTGATTGATGGAAGTTGTTCAACTGACCTAACAGTGCACCCTTTTTAAGGGGAATGCACTGACAGCTGTTGGTAAAGAAATCCGCCTGCAATGCAGGAGACCCCAGTTTGATTCCTGGGTTGGGAAGATTCCCTTGAGAAGGAAAGGCTACCCACTCCAGTATTCTGGCCTGGAGAATTCCATGGGCTGTGTAGCCCACGGGGTCGTAAAGAGTCGAACACGCCTGAGCAACTTTTTTTACTTTGACGGACTGTATCGGTGAAGGACAGGGATGAAGCCCAAGGCGCTGGCTGTTCTAGCAACAGCAGGTCTGCTTCAGGAGAAGCTGTCACCCCTCCTTCCCTGCTCCCGGCTCAGGCTGCAGCTGCCTTCTGGTGGTGCTGTCACAGACGCGCCTTCAGTCCGACTATCCAAGCCAAGTGTCGATGAGCCTGTCTGCAGCGTGAGGCTCAGGGCGAGTCCACCCTGGCTGGGCCCTTGTGGCGGGCGCTGATTCTTAACCTGGCTAGAGCGATGGCCACCCTGGGAAATCCGGCAGGGCCAGACACCCTTCCGCAGACACTTCGAACTCCACACACGTGGTCTGGAGGCCAATGCCGGGGGGCGAAGGAGAACGAGGCCTGCAAGTGACCGCAGGGCAAGGCGCACGTGGACGTGTGCTTCACTTAGGAGATGGGTGCGCTAACTCCGGGCAGGTGCGGGGCGACCATCACCCCGTCCTGGAGGAGTGGGAGAGCTGTCTGGGGGGCTGGCTCGGAGGATGGCAGCGTTTCAGCAGTGAGCGAATGGGGAGGGAGGTTCAGGGAAGGGGACGCAGTGAGGAAGCCACTGGGGAGCCTGGGTGGGCTGCCGCATCGGGACGCGGCTCGGAGCTTCAGGACAGCGAGGAGGGCACCCAAGGGACCTGGCCTGGCTGCCTGGCAGGCCCACCAGTCTCCGCGTGTGCACCCAGTGAGGTGTCTGGGCTCTGTCTGCACCTCTCCTAGGGTAGAGAGTGCCTTCCCTCCCCACGCAGGCTTTCCACTCTGGACCGCATTGGAGACAGTGTGTCCAGACACTGGGTTTGAATGTGTCTCCGACAGCTCCCACTGATTCTTCAGAGTCACAGAAGCCATCTGGAACTTGGCAAAAGCCACGGCACCCTTCCTCAGAAAATGGGACGGTACACACAACCCACAACATCACATAAAATCATCGGTCCAGGCAAAGCTGGGTGTGCTCTTTGGGGCCTGGGCCACCCTTCCTCCCCGGGACAGCACTCAAGGGCAAGGCCCAGGAGGCCACATGCTCTTGGGCCTCATTTGTCAGATATCACTGGCCCGGCTCTGTTGTCCAGGGTCACCCCGACCTCATCCAATGTCCCCTCGGGATGGACTCCAGCTTCGCCACCCCCAGGCGACATCTCTGCTCTCTAGCGCCCTGCTCCTGCCTGGACGACATGGCCCAACCCCAAGCCCAAGAAAACACCACGCACTGCCATCTTCCTAAAGGTCGTTTTATTGTAAAACCATAAATACAACACTGACATGAAATCATTTATTTAAGCAACTGATTCTCTCTAACCATTAAAAGGATGTCTTTTGCCTTGGCATCAACCAACCGGGAAATAATGTTGCAAGAATACGGGGGAGGAGGGTAGGGGGTGTTGAATTCTGGACTGGGGCTTTTGGCGATTTAAGGAACCAAGTGGACCCTTCCTCTTCACCCTGGGAATGTCCCACTTTTGGACAAGAACAGACAGGTAAAAACAGCAAACATTTAAACAGCTCAGTTTTAAATTTTATTACTCTGTAAAAATCTCTCTTTTTTTTTTTTTCTGTTCCTTTCCTCCATTTGACATCAGTAAAAGTTTTAAACACCACAAAACTGATTTGGCTATAAATGGAGAAACGGTACCCAAACCAAAACGAAACCGAAAACCCAAAGGACAAACAGAAAACCCTAAATAAACCCTCAAGTTTGGTCTCGGGGGTTTACAAATCACAAGAACCATCAACTCAACCCCCATGCAACGTGACTCCTTGCAGAGCTGCTGGATCCACAACGACACAGAGACCGCAAACAACGTCTTTTGTT